GGGGGAGGAGATGAGATGTTGTGGTGGTGGTGGTGGTGGTATTTGAAATTGTTTTGGCGGTGGTGTTGATGGTGGTGGTGGTGGTGGTGGTGGTGTTTGAAGTTGTAGTGGCAAAGATGTTTATTGTGGTGGTGATGATGTGCCTATTCTTGTTGTTGTGGTGCTGATGGTGGTGGTGTTTGCAGTTGAGGTGGTGATGCTGGTGGGGGTAATGCGGTTATTTTGTCGTTGTTGTTGCCGTTGCTTTTGATGCTGTTGGTGGAGGTAGTGAGGTTATTTTGTCGTTCATCTTGGTGTTGGTGGTGGCGGTGGTAATAGTGGTGTGGTTATTGTGTCTTTATTCTTGATGCTGTTGTTGTCGTTAGTGGTGGTGGTGTAGTTTTTGTCGTTATTGTTGTTGCTATTGATGGTGGTGGAGATGTAGTTTTGTTGTTGTTTTTGTAGGTGCAGAATTTAATCTTGCCCTTTTTTTCTCTCCCCCCCCCCCACTTTTGTCCCTTCACCCTTCCACCTTGCCCTTTCACCTTGTCGCCCCTTTCTCCCTTCCACCTTGCCCTTTCACCTTGTCGCCCCTTTCTCCCCTTCCTCCATCTCACTTCTTTTCCCTTTCTCCTTTGTCTCCTTCTTCCCCATCCCCTCCTGCCTCTCTCTCCGTTCTCCACTTCCCTTTCAGGCCGGCACCAACAAGCTGGCCTCCCAAGCCGGTATGAAGATGGGCGCCTCCAGACATATCGCCGACATCCGCGCTGACGACATGAGCAAGGAGGGACAGTGCGTGATCGGTCTGCAGGCCGGATCTAACAAGGGAGCTTCTCAGTCCGGTAAGAGGGGGACAGATAGACAGTTAGGAGAGGGACGGGTACGGAGGAGGACGAGAGAAGGAGAAGGAAAGGGAGTGGGAGTGGGAGTGGGGAGAGGATAGAGAGGGAGGAGAGGATGGGGTATGAAGAGGGAGGAAAGAGGGAATGGAGAGGAGGTAGAAAACGTCAGTCCAGTGAGTGTGGCACTTTCTGCCCTTTCTCCTTCATTTAGTTCTACATTGGCTGGGTTTGGGGGGGG